TGGCAATAGCTTGTGTTTTACTGTAAAGCTACTAATGCCAGAACCGTATTAATTATTGTCCTTCACTCATCACGCCGTACTTTCGATTAGTATTAATAATCTAATGGCTGGAGTCTTCTGGTCTAGACTTTCTGTCGTCCGGGCTAAAGACACGGGGAAAGCAGGATATTAATAAAGTTTATAAACTTTTAAAAATTAGAACAACCCTGCCGAATAAATATAACTAGCTGATAGGAAACTGGAAGCCTCCGAGTTCAACTTGAACACTCTTCCATCTTCCTGCACGTTTTTGTCGATATTCGTGAATGTTTAATGCTCCGTCCAGTGTGTGCATGTCAGGTAGCTCTGTGCCCATTTCAGACAAGATGGGTATAAGTACTGAAGAAACATTTTTCAGAAGAGCAGTTTGAAAGTCTATACGTTACTTCAGTGTATCTTATATAATTAAATTCGAGAATGTGCTGGAAATATATAATTATATAAAGTTAGGCCTACTAGAACATAAGTAAACAATATACGAGTAAAATAAAAAATGTGGACATATATTGTTAAAACTAAATTGTAATTTACCCATTAGTTTGTACGACTGCGAAAACTGACCTGTCACCACAAAAACAGAAAAAAACTGAGAGTTTATGAGAAACTGATGTAGAGAATGTTTGGACCCCATAGAGGAATAGCAGTTGGATTATATATGGCGGCTCTTCATAATTCGTTAGCGTAATATTCACCAAATACTAGGATTAATAGACCAAAGCATATCAGGGAGGGCAACATTAAAAATGGCTCTTGAAAAAAATCCTATGAGAATATGGGGTCAAATGAGAGGCTGCAATGAACAAGTCAACGAACCGTTAGTTTGCGTCTATTTTAACATAAAGTCTTTTAAATAACACTGGGAATTAGTAATCTTGTAATCTGCCGTTTTTGAATGATTTCGTTGGGCCTCTCAGCCGTTTGTAAAGTTTTTGTTACTTATATCATGAATTTATTATATCTCTCTCTCTTGGCATTTGATATTCTACAAAGAACCGCGAAATCTACGCTTCACAATTTTTGAACTCTACCTTTTATGATTTAGAAACTTCCTATGTATTCGTTGTTTTTTCTCTGTTATGTTGAACCAGATTCCATTTAAGCTCCGAGAGTTCTATGTTCTCCTCTTACACGTAAACTGCACAAGATGTTTTCTAAAATACTTACCACTTTATCTCGGCCTCACGCCAATAATATGGATGAGAGGTAGAATATCAAGCTACTTATGTGTCATATGTACTGGTATGTAGTCATATTGTCTTGCAATATAAAAGTTGTCTTCCTTAGGGTGTCAAAGTGACAAATAACTGCTATGGCGAAGCTCCATCGGGACGTGTTCTTGTGGGATAGCTTACTGCCTTAGAAATATCTTCAGTACAAAACTGAAACTTACGTTTCAATGAGAAATTTTTGTGGATGTATCATAGTTTTATTTCAGGAGTAAACTGACCACTGAAATTTAAGGGGAATAGTGAAAAAATGTTAGAGTAACATTTAGTTTTACTTTATCATTAATTTTTTTTAAACCTGAATAATGAGCTCGAGTCAACAAACTTTATTTTACTCCTACAGATATCCGCGATTCAAATACACAGCTACGTCTTCAGTATCTAAACAAATTGACAATAGAGAAAGTTTTGTAACATGTTATGTTTTCAGACATTTTGATCTGTAAAAAAAATAATCTGATATTGCACAACTGTTTTTGTAAAATGTTATATGTTAGTGCTTCCTGACAAGACTACAGGACATGAAAATTATGTAAGGGTAGTCCAGTTGGTTTTAAATCCTTTGAAAAAGATTAGCTCTTTGGAAACGACGATAACACGTAAAAACTGCGTCGGTAAAGAAATTTAGAGAACGTTAAATGTGACGAATGTCTGTTATTGTAGAATATTTGGTATTCCCGAATGTTATTTAAAGAGTTAACAATTTACGTACACAAAACTGTAATTTGACCTCTTCTCTTTAAGGACTCTGCTCGACGGATTTAGTGTAGTGGGCTGTATTTGACACGGCTCGATACAAAATAGTTGTAATTTTAAACAAGACACAGACGGACCGGATAGTCCTATAGAAAAGTATATAGGATCTACAAAGTTTCCTGAATCCTTGAGCGATTAGCGAAACAGCTGACAAGCTGTTGTTCTCTAAACCCCAAGTGAAACTTGCCTACTACTTGAAGCAGGCCTGTGTTACAGCTTGGGGCTTAGATTTAGAAGCTTAAACACTTACTGTTCATCAGACCGAAGGACTTTCACAGTGTTGCAATCCTTCCTTATGATTTGCTGTGAAGTTACATGAATGTGCGTGTTTTAAGAGGAACCTCAGCTTGGCTTGCCGGAAGTAACCCGAATATTACAGAACTACTTTACCATTATAGTCGTAGGCCATTCCAAAATTGGTTCTTGTCCGCACTGTCTGGCAAGTGGTCTTTGTGGGACCTCTAAATATGAAGGGCAGCTGTCAACATATTTGATAACCAGTCGCGGACATCAGACGAGAAGTGGAATGTTACAAAATGTTATAAATGGCCACTGTTTTCATTCGACGCTATATAATGTGAGGTAACTACGTTGTTAAGTATGCTATAGATAAATACATACCACAGAATTCTGTTTGCAAATAAATTAAAAGGAATTCACTTGTCATTATTTGTGTATGTAATCACAGTTATGCCTGTCATTATATAATAATAATAATTCTTTTAATGTTCGTCTCATCAATACCCAATTGCATTTCGCGATCACGAAAATAAAATAATAGAAAAATAACACGTTCTTTCATTTCCAAGAATAATTTCTTTATAGTTGGATGCGTCACTTTCCCTCAGTTTCTAACCGGATTGTTTGACGAATATAAACCGTTCCACAGTGAAAAAGTGGCCTATGTACACTGTTGTTCTGCGTTGTTCATGACCATACTTTTGTGTAAATTGAATGTTGGATAAATGAACTGTGGAATTGGAGACTTTAATCACGTTTGGTCACTGACGGTGGTGAAAATTGTGTTCCTTTTCCAGTTTTGATACAGATGCAATTACCTACTCGTTTAGATAAGCGTTTGATTAACAACTACATTAAGCAGTCTGTTAGGTCCGTCTGTCCGAGGTTTAGGTTTCGAAATATCTTTCTTTTTAAGGTACAAGGTTGTTAGCCTTGCGACCAACCCACAACCTGGAGGACCAGGGTACCTGTCTTAGTCTGACCTCTCCCCCTCGACCAATCTGGCTAGGGAGGCCCTACCAGTAGCTCTTGGGGTCACTGAGGTACTCAAGCCCCACCACCACCACAAGGTGCAGGTACCATTAAGTGGGGACAAAACTAGTACTCCTTAGGCAAAATATTGTCTCCGTTACATAATATAATACTTTGGCAAACCGCTTCAAACTCTTTCAGTTTATTTCAATAAATTCCGCGAAACACAGCCCACCTTCAGGAGCTCAAAGTACCCTTAGGTAGTCAAGAAATGCTCCGCCTTGTATGAAATTCTAAGGTTCATTACCATGTTCACAAAAGCCCTGGTCCCTGTCCTGAGTTATATAAATCCATTCCGCAAACTCCCACCCTATTTTATTATATTAAATATCTTCCATTTCGTTTTCAAATCAAAATTCTATGCGCATTTCTCATCTGTCCCATGCACACTACACGTCCAGCTCATTGCCAACGGTCCTGTCGCTTAATCCTTTTTCGATTCAAATATTCATGTCCTTGTTTTTGTCCATCGAACCTCCATCAACGTTTTCCGAGACGGGTAGATGGGCAGAACATAATTTCTCTGCTGTATGTAACATTTCAGGTACTCAGGGCGGCGAGTACGATGATGGCTGTCTTCTGGGTTGTTGCATCGTGTTGTCTGGTAGAATTCTGTCGGCGTTTCAGAGATTCTTAACGCCTCTGTCATCGTCCTAATTATGGCAGCAAGTAACTCTGAAACGTCAGGAAATTTCTACTAGACTACACCTCTCAATAACCCAGAAGAAAACAAATTTCTCTTCTGTATGTGTATTCGTGCATATTTCTGTTATGTTCTGCAATGAACTCATTATGTTGTTTATTAAATGTTCGCCTGTTCGATATTCACCAGGCGGCTTCCATACTTCACTTTCACTAATTCCACACACCATCTCCCCCCCCCCCTCCAACCCACCTCAGACCCTACCTCTCCTAGTGCTTCGTCTTCCTAGGAGTATATATGTAGCCATGTACAAAATTTGTTATTTTTGTATTTATGCAAAAAAGAAGGCCTTAATATATCGCCTGACTCCGAAATTTATTTGCGACTGCTTACGTCCAAATGCACACCACGCCATTAGACTGTTCTATCAGGACTTAACAAAAGAAAGGGAGGAGTATCCTGTTGTAGAAATATTGGTGTTCCAGGGGTGTACAAGCAGCCACTGAAACACATCCAGAAGCCATAAGTAGTCCATACCGTAACTGATACATCAGACCGCCAGGCCACACAGATAAATCCCTGTATTTCAACACACAGTTCTATTCGGAAGAGGTATCGATGTTGTTTTTAACTCAGCATTGAAGATGGCAACATTATGTTTCTCCGAAACGTTTGTACCTACCCACTAGTCCATACGGCGTCACAACCCAGAACAACAACACCTAAATTGTTACCGACATGAGAATCTAACATCTCGCAAGGATGTAATGTTTAATGCGTTCTTAACGTAGGAAATTATAGATAAGTGTTCTGCTTCACGCTTCGACACTCTTAACCCCGAGGAGAAGGAACCGGTGACCATCGGATAGGAGGCTGAGTGGAATGTGTAACCAGAATGTCATGTTATTAATATACAGAGCGAAGCCAGGACTTAGTTGTCATGGTCCCTATCTGGGAACGGTATATTTTACCATGGCGTACTTATGATTAGTGAACAGAGAAATATAATGATGAAAATGAAAACTGTGTGGTGTAATGTAAGTTGGTATCCTAGCAGTGGCTTGGAGGGGATGAGAGAAAGTACCGAAAACTTCAGTTATGATAGACAGTCTCCTGGATGAGCTTTACACCCTGCATCTTCTGAATACAGGGCACGAGTTTAACCGCTGAACTAGAACTTGCCTTTCCCCGGGTTGAAGATTTTTGCAATAGTACGTTATGCAGCAAGCAGGAAAGTTTGTTATTCATCACATTACATAATGGTGAGTGTAAAATCACGTGAAGTTCTGTCTGTTATCTATATTTTGTCGACTTCATCATCATTTTCCTTAGTGTTATGCGTTTCAAATTACGTCTATACTTTCTTGGAAATCTATTTGACTGTCAAGTAAGGTCAAATTGTGATTGTGTCGTAGGCATGCGCGTGGTTAGGTGCCTTTATGAAAAGTCTCTTTTTCAACTTTACTGTGATAATTAGAGCCCAGAATAATATTAATAGTCATTACATTATTTACAAATACTTGGCATTGTAGTAAATTTGAAACAATAACAAGAATTGGTAGTTTAATCTCTTCAGATTTTCGGCTTACGACTGAACATTATTTTAATAGTTACTGAAACAAAATATTTTAGATTTCAGTTCCTGATGAGAAGCTAAATGGTTCCAAATCGTAACCAAAAACCATTTTCTTGTCTATGCTGCCCGCAATAAATCAGAAAGTCTGAAATCGAGAGGCTATTTAGGGGTCGTGAGCTTAATTAGGAAGGGAATTTAAAAGTGTATGTGGTGAGCAGGTGTGGATTGGATTCAGCTGGCTCAGAGCAGAATACAGTGTCAGGCTATTGTGAATACGGTGGGAGTGATTTTAATAAAACGCATATTATTTCTTTGTCTTCTGAGCTACCGCCAGCATCTCAAGAAGGATTGCGTTCCTTGGAGTTAGGTAATTAGGACCTTAGTCTCCTCTGTACATGTTAAAATGCGTTGTTATAAAGTAACTTCCAAGTTAGGGTCATTCAGGTGTCACGTGAACCATTTAATAAGAGCTAGACGCTTTGCTGACGGTGTCACTGAACAGTGTCTCAACATAAGACGGATGAGTTTTGTTTCGAACGACTAATCCCACGTATTTATGAAGTGAGTGAAGAAACTTAAAACATTTTCGTGGGGGTAATTATCTCGGGATATGATCCTTCACTGTTTTGATGACGAGCCAGAAGCTTAACCACGTGACTAAATCCATCTACGCGGGAGAGATTGTGATGTAAATAAGAAGGAAAGTAATTGTGATCGTGGTGGAGGAATTGTGGCGGCAAGGGTTGAAAAGAAAAAGGTTTTTGTGGTTGGGAGATGGTTGTGGTAGCGGGAGTAATAGTTGTAACAGGAAATTTGGCTGTTGGGGGAGTCAGTAGTTGTGAAGAGGTATTATTTTTGATGATGGGATTATTTTAGGGATGATAATGTTCCTGGTTGTGGCGATGGAATATTTTAAATAGTATTTTACGCATAATATTTAAGTGCCTTATGGAAACCCCCTGCTCTGATTGCACTAGCCTTTTCCATAATTTCCCCTCATGCCCAGCTGCCTTGCTGTAATTATAAAGCTGCCGTATGTAAATGTTACGAACAATTACAACTGTGTTTTAAAATTCCATTTTCTATGTTCCCTGCCGTGTTGTGGTATGACCTTGTATTAAGATATCCCCTACATGAAATGTACGAGAATAGTAAAAGTGTGGTAACTGAAAATGTTAGCTTTTACTGTAACAATTCCAAGTAGCACAGTCCTCTTTGAGAACCTGACAGTAGCTCAGCAGGTGGAAAAACCCGCCAAATTTGGTGGAAGACTATTATTCAGTAACACGCTTACATTTGAGTGCCGGTGAATAGTGTTTTCAGGAAGAAAAAATGCATTTACTTTAATAATATATCGAATTGTCGTCTCGGGCCAAGTCTGCGTAAGATACATAATTAAATTAATTTTATACAGTAGATGTAATCGAACTTCCAGTGATTCTCGAGATAAAACTTGTGGACGAATAATTACATTCGTCCTGTTTATGAATATCGAACAAATAAAAACGCTTAATAAATTGTGGATAAAATATCTGAAGCTAATGTGACTGGCGTATAGGAAGGAAATGGTTCTTTGTAACGATTGTAAAAAATCGTCTTCTGAAGCAGTTTTTTCTCTCATTTCTATCATCTGACATAATGGTGTGGTGTTCAGTTCGAATTAACAAAGGAAATTCTGTGTCTGAAGATTTCTGTCTTCTGGGTTGTTGCCCCGTGTAGTCTGGTAGAAGTTTACCGACGTTTCAGAGGTGATTGCTGTAGACTGGTTTCATGTGGCCCAGGATAGGGATCGATTTCAGGGCCTTATAACTTCGAGTTCCATGGAACGCAGTGATATCTTGACCATCCAAGTGAGCTTCTCAAGAAGGGTGACGTTCCGTTTAGTTAATTTAGTTGGTATGATACAGTTCTATAATACACTTTTGCATGTAAACATTCCTTCCCATCGCGCCGGTCCGTTCCTAATGAGCTTTCTTCACGAGTCAATTCCATCCTACTTTACGGAACTAGCTGAGCGTAGTGTAACATGACATAACTGGGCAGAGAGAGACAGAAACTTGATGGTTTGCTGAATATTTTACAAGTCGCTATTCTTCCTTACAGATGTGTCGGTTTGCAGAATTTTGGTCCATGTAGATTCTAGAGCAGGGATTCTCAACGTTTTCCAAAGAGACGGACGAAGTCAATCTGTCTTATAAAGCAGGGAAACAAGGTCAACTCAACGCTCAATATGACATTTTTAAAGACCATTTATTTATGATATATTTTACGCTGCTTTGCTATTGTTTTTGTAAGATTTTATTTCTATTGTCCGCATTCATCCCTATAATTGTTTATTATTAAGACGCATTCTCCTTATTCATTTGATGTTCTTCGTTAAGCTGTAATGTAATGCTGATCACAGTGATAGGCAACTGCCATACGCTGACATTTACAAAACTTAATCTGATGTCAGGGAACAATTTTTTTTCATAGGAAAAATGTTGGAAGGCCACACAAAGCATATGAGACAGCAGAGTAATGCTCGCAGACCGCAGGTTCATAACAGCTGTTCCACAGGTACCACGTGTACTGTTACTGCACACAACCTCAGACTGCCTTCCTCCTGCAATAGCAAAATAATGAAGGACGTAAAATCTAAGCCCTTGGCTGATTAAGCTACATGATTTAACATCTAAATCTGAGCCGCGCTGAGTGACCTTCAAAAGAATTTGACTCACCGGAAAACAAAAAAGCATCGTTTGAAAATTCTGAAAGTTTACGTCAATTGTCTTACATAGAAAAATTTAATTTGCTTAAAGTCTTCCTTAAGTAAGATAGATCAAATATGGCATGTTATAAGGCGTCTTAGGTTTTTGGCATCATACTGTGCTCATAAGCACAGGGTCATAGGATCGAATGCTGGCTGATGAAGTCTTTTATTTTTCCTTCATACATCCGCCATATTGTTATCTTACATTATATAAAGAATTATTTTGAGTGTTCTATATCTCCCGAAAATCCGTAACCATATATCACAGTACTTCGCTATTGTAAGCGGTACTAGTGTCGACTCTACCTCAGAAGTTTGGTCGTCCGCCATATTGGTATTACCGATTCCAGAAAATTGAAAAGATTGATTTTAGGGTAGTCCCAGTTGCACAACGGTTATACCAGATTTAATACAAATCTGTCTCAACATCTATCGAGCTAAATCTTACA